GGGGAGGGGTGTCTAAAGTCAAAGATGAATCTTGATTGGGACAAATTTGACCCCGAGTCACCCGCAACAATTCTGCTGGGACTTCCCAGAACCGAACACCAAATTATACACAATTTTGTTTAGAGACCCTCAGACTTGGCTGAAATGGTCAAAATCTGTTTTGTAGTGTTTATATAGCTATTAAGATATCATGAAGCCTTGTTCCGATAAAAAAAAACTAGAGCGTAGTTGTTATATAATTTTAACTTGAAACGGGTCACGGGAGACCCGAACACAACTTAAGGGTTAAGGTAGGAATTCAAATCTTCTGTTGTAACTATTCATGAAAGCTATATGATTTTTACAGTTAACATGATATAGCTCCATGTTTTTATGGTTTTCCTATTCTATAAAACGGTAATATTTTAGAAGACTGCTGCATAATTTTATATTCGAAAAAGTACAATAAAGTCTGTCTGCAATGATCTGTAGTGGAAGGTCAGTTTTGCATCTGATTTTGCAAATTTTGTTAATTATTATTTTAATAACAAAAAACTGCACTAAATGTTCACTTTGATAGATGACCTTAGTGTGTTAACATTAATTAAGAAATACAGTGCCCTGAATTTAAATAGATTTCAAGTAAAAGTAAACAGCAATCTAAATTTGGACTTGTTAAAAACGTTCTGAAAAATGCTTTGATGTTAATGAGCAAAACCATGAGAAATAAAATATCACAGACAGGCAACACACAACTCGACAATGAAGGGGAAGAAACCTTAGACTATAAGGAACATACATGACAACAAACCCACACAGGACACCTTCAAAAAAAACGAAACCAAATTATTATATTAGTTAAAAGCTGGAAAAAACAGTTGACTCACCTTCCCCTCCATCTGCTGATAAGCGTTGTGTGTTTAGTCTGTTGGCGCTTAGTTTGCAATTAAAGAGTCATTAAAGAGTTGGAGGCAGCTGATGTTCATTCTTCAGATCTGGTCTTTCTGCTTGCCCAAGTTGTTTGAAAATACATTTGTTTCTCAATGAGCAAATCCAGTTCTCTGTTGTTTTCCAGAAATCCAATTATGGAACTTTGAGTAAAGCACCAACAACCAAAGAGTCCTCCAGGGGGAGCCGGCTGATCTTCAGATGTTTTCTAATGAAGAAAATCAACAATTATTAATGCTAGTAGGCCTAATAATGGTATTTTTCAAATAGCTTTACAAAAGATAACTGCATTTAATTCCCCAGGATTTAAATGACTTAAGATGTTGTGTAAGTTTTTCATGAAGCTGTTGACCGTAGACACCAAGGACAGCAACACTGTGTCTCAGATTCTGGAAATACCCTCCTCACTTAGTCAGGGTGTCAGGGAAACAGTTTGAGCAATCTTTGTTGTCCAGTTGAATAGCGAGAAAAATACACAGATGTCGACACTGAAAACACATTTGAAAGTTGAGATCAAGAAGTCACATCGAGGTCAATCAGTTCAAGAAAAAAGTTCCTATCCAAGGAGTTGAGCGTTGATACCAAATCTGCCGGGAGAGGACAGAGTGTCTCTACCTTTTCACCCTCCAGTTCCTCTTCTTCCTCTTGCTCACTCCATTCCTCTTTTTTCACACAAGAAGCGCCTGCTGTGTTTGTGTGTTGGCAGATTCCTCACCATCTGCAGCAAAGTAATCCTGACTGAGAGAAACACGCCCCCCCAAACTGAATTGAGTCAGGGGGTGGGCATCAGGTTTCTCACTCTCTCTCACACACACACACACACACACACACACACACACACACACACACACACACACACACACACACACACACACACACACACACACACACACACACACACACACACACACACACACACACACCATATCAGGCAGTGGCTGGTATGTGGAGACAGATTAAGACCATGCCAGGCTATGCTCTTTCTACTGTGACACTCACTCACTGTGCTCTTCGAGGTGCTAACTGTAGCCTTTTAATATCTTCTAATAATTAACACTTGAGAAACTTTTAATGCTGTAATCTAATGTGACCACTGAAGAGAAGCCATTCAACAAGGATATCAAGCTGTCATCATGTTTCCATGCACATTATAAACACATACTGTATATACAGCCTTTTCAAAAAAAGCTATTAAAGTGTTTGTTTTGCTTTTTAGGTAGAAGTTTATATTGACACCATTATTCAGCATTTTTTTTTAACATTAAATACCCATTTATTTAAATGTTCTATAAAAAAGGTTGATGTAGTTTTATGCACATTTAACACACTTTTCATTATAATTTGTGTAAAGCGTATCTTTACACTATTATTCTCACATTGTTCTTTAGCATCAGGACAGCTTGTTTTTGCACACTGTGTTATTTTTAAAATGTCTCGTTGGTTACTCGGTAGTTAGGAATTTTGTTTCAGATAAACGTGACCTTTTACTCAACTTAAAAAGTCGGACGCAATTTATCGTGGTGCTCCACAGGGCAGTGGTCTCGTCCCATTTGTTTTCTTGTTTTTCATGCTTTGGGGTACATTCATTATAACATCAGACCTGTTTACATTCAACTTCACAAAATATCACTTATGTTTATTTTTTATGCTGATTATAATAAAATACTTCAAGTTTTATTTATATTTATAATATATTTTTAAAGGATTTTTAAATCCTCTCTAAAGACACACTTCTTCTCCCTGGCCTTCTATTCAGAGCGTTTTTGTGTTTTTTTATATATCTGTTGTAATTTATTGTGATTGTAGTAATGTGTTTATATTACATGTACAGCACTTTGGCTCAACCAAAAAACGCTTTTAAATGTGCTTTATAAATAAAACTTGATTTGATTGACTTAATATGACCAAATGATTGGCAGTTTGGATGAGTATGCAACTTTTGCCAACACTAGATCACATTTTTTAACGAGAAGTTACACTAAATGTCCAAATCAAAATATGCAAACAGGTCTAAGGCAGTGTTAGTGTAGGGAAGGCTGTGGCTCAGTGGGTTAGTGTGCTGATCTTCAAATCAGAGGTTAGCAAGTTTGAGTCCCACTGCAGTCAGCATGTCGTTGTGTCCTGCAAGACACTTCACCCCAAATTGTTCCTGTGGGGATTGTCCACAGTACTGAGTGTGTTTAAGTCGCTTTGGATAAAAGCGTCTAACAAGTGACATGTAATGTTACTATAATGCTTTTAAATGACTCTGGGATTTGGAAACAAGTGGGCTTACCGGACCACTGCAGCCCTCCTCTCATTTCAACTTTCCACGTTTTTAATCAAAGAAACTCACAGTAAGGGAAGAGGCTCCGAAGCAACAGAAACATTTATTTTACATCAGTACATCAGACATTTCATTTACCCACACGGCTGCCTGACAGACGCAACAACATCATCAGTCCATGCTAAAGCAGAACACCTCTAACGTCTCTATGTACTGTGCCACTGCGTGTATATACAGCAGGTCTGCCATTTTGCCACTTCATTGTCAAAATGTATCACATCTAAAATTCTATACATCCCCTCGACACACCAGCTAATCAATGATTAAAAACATAAGAAAATAAAATAAATAAAACAGTGCTTCGATATAATTATCATCTCGTCGCTACATTCACACTTACATCAGTTATTGTTATTTATGTCATTGATTTAGATCTAACAATGGAAGTTACTTTGACTCCAGATTTAACTCACTCACACGGTTGCATGTTTGGTCGTTAGAGAGATAATGAGAAACAGAGAGGAGGGATTTTCTGGGTTTATCAGTGTGTCACATGATATGAACAACAAAACCATTAAAGTTCAGAGACATTTGATTAAAAAGGAGCATCTGCAGGGTTCAATAAAACCCTGAAAAGCTCATCAACTATATTTATATTCCCCAATTTGACCAGTAGTCTTAATGTAAAACTGGAAGACAAACTTAAAAGAAATACTAATCATAACAGGCATGATTTGAACAAAACGCATATTATATTAACTGTGATTTTTACATTTTTACCTTGATTTAGCTTCCTTCTAGTTCCCTCTCACTGGGCTATTTCATGAAATCATCTATACTCCTTTCATATTAATGAACATGAAGCAACCGTGAGATTTGAAATGGGAAGAGTAGGACAATTAAAGGAGCGGCATATTTAGCTAATATTGCACTTTCTCATGATATGTATAAATACATAACGAACAAAGTGTTTGATTGAGTAATAAAAGAGTGAATAAAAAGCCTGGCTGGTTAAATCACAACAAGCTGTTGACACAAACGATCACAACGTTCCTGTGTTTTCTATTATGGAAGAGCTGGAGTGCTACTTGTGTGCGACAAATAAAAACAAACTACAAAAAAAAGTGTTATTCTGAAAAATGAAACCCTAACTAAATCTGTCTGTATTTTGTAAACTGCTCTTTAGTTGCTATGAGGGTTTTTATAATCTACTAAAAGGGATGCCACACGAACAAATAAGACTTTGAATATCATTATCCTCCCTTCATTGACGACATAAATAAGAAAAACAAAAACGTTGAAAAGCAATTCTACAGAGACAAATAGACGGAGAGACAAAAAGGTGTTCAAATCTCTGAACCAATTCAAAGAAATACAGTGACGTTAAATCTAAACATACACTTTACACGACATGTACAGCATTTTTACTTTCTCACAAAACAAATTGGAAACTAAAAACAAAAGGGGCTCAATCAGTGTGTGTGTGTGTGTGTGTGTGTGTGTGTGTTTCCTGGGTGACACCGAGAGGTCACTAATGTATGGTAATGATTTGTAATGGCTCTAATAATAACACTGGACTCTGCCATGGCTCTCACAGCACACACACCGCTCTCAATGTGAAACAGGGATCAAGATTAAAACATCAAATACGTTGGAAGAGAACAAGAGGAGGAGTAGCAAATATAGTAGAAATAGTAAAAACATTGTGACTTATTTCCGCTACTTCAGGGAAACTGATATTTTTTCAAAACATAGAAGAATTACATTATTACTGGAATACTGTTTTAGACTTTTAAAAAGACCCAGGTTATACTGTGAAGGAGTAAAGAAACACATCATGAACGTGCATCAGTATTCATTTCCAGTGTATCCTCTAGGACACGTGTGTCAAACTCAAGGCCCGGGGGCCAAATCAGGCCCTTGGGGGATTTAATTTCGGCCCGCAGGATAATTTGTAATTACTATTAGATCTGGCCCGCCGGTATATTGCACGCACACCTTCCTCAGCTCAGAGCCTGAGCCCAAACATTGATGAACTTGCACCCGAGATGAGATGCCAAGTATCTGCTTGAACTAGCATCACAGAGCAGCAAACTGAGTTTAATGGATGTTTCCTTCTGCACTTTGTTTCTTGAGACATCAGGGCATGTTTGGTTTTTTCTTTGAGGGGAATTGTTTTTTTGAGCGTNTTACCTTGGTTGGTGATTGGCTAATGGTTACACAAGCCAAAAAAATTGTTATGACATCATAAAGTGGCCAAAATCTGATCAGCTCATTTTCAGACAGGTTTTTATATAAATGGATCAGGACAAAAAGAGAGGGGGTCTTTGTTCATGAAACTTCAGAATCTCTTTCCACAGAGGGGACACATGTTGATGTATAAAAGACGTGACAAATTGGATTTTGCATAATAGGTGAACAAAACTAAGTAAGTAAGCATGTGTGTGTGCGTGTGTGTGCGTGTGTGTGTGTGTGTGTGTTGGCCTCTTACCTTTGCCCACCAGCTGGACAGAACAAAGTAGGTGTTGACGTTCTCCTCTCCGAACTGCTCGGCGACGTAGAGCCCCAGCGAGCCGTATTTGTCGTAGATGTTCTTCTTAGTGCCGTCGCTCAGGATGGAGTGCGCGTTGTTGATCTCCTTAAACTTATCGGATGCGTCCGGATTGTCTGGGTTCTTGTCAGGGTGAAACTTCAATGCTAGTTTCCTGTAGAAGTCACATTAAGAACAGGTAAGGTTGGTGGATATACACCCACTTGCAGTAGATGTTTTGTTTGTGGGATGCAAAATGTAGGAGACAATGTGGGTTTCAGGAATCAAACCACTGGCTGGGAATGTCCATTGATGGGACCTTCAAGATTTTCAGACATAATCATATCTATTTGTAAAAAGGAAGTAGATAAATATAGTAAAATCATTTTTTTACTACTTTCTACTTTTGTCATGTTGCTTATTTCTTGCAAAATCATTGGAAACATTGCTGATTTATTCTTCTATTATCTTACAATTCCCCCGTAAAATATTATGTGCACACTTTCCCGGTCAAAATGTACACTACAGAAAAAGAAAAAAAAACCTGCTTTTGAGTTATTTTTTGTCATTTCGAATTGCTGACCTAAGAGAAACCATGCTAAAAAAAATAAAAAAATAATAGATACTACATAAACAAATCTAAATGTAATGTAAAAGCCCTTTAAAGCTTGGAGAATTTTTTTTTCCATCTTCAAAAACAGACTTTTCAAATATGGTAAATGCTGCATTAAAGTGCTTAATGAACTTCTATTTATTCCAGGATCTCTTGCATTACATAACATTACAAGAGTGGCTTCTGACGCCCTCTAGTGGTGAACAAAATAAAACATCTATTGGGTTGTGGTAATTATTGTGTCTTTTTGAACACATACCGGTAACATTTCTTGATGTCGTCTGTTGTGGCGCTCTTGTCGAGTCCCAGCACGAGGTAAAGCGATTCTCCGGAGGTGGAGAGAGCTCTCTGTCTCTGCTGGTCCATGGCTGCTCTCTGTCTCAGTTTCTCTCACCCTCTCTCACTCTCTCCCGAACACGCTGAGCCTCTCACCTGTCAGGTAGAAGAGAGATGCTCATGAGAAACTAGTTGCCGTGTCTTTTTCTCACTTTCTTTCACATGCAACAAATACGGCAAGCAAGAAAAAAATATTCTGGCGATCTCTCCTTAATTAATTAGTTAAGAACAGGTGAGAACAAATGGATTTCCAGGATAACCTTTGAGTTCAGAGTGAGATTTATAATCTGCGTCCTGAATGAACCTGTGTCTCTGTTACTAGATAATGAGCAGAAATACAAGGACCAATAGGAATAGGGCTGACCAAGGACTTAATGCCCTGAGTTATAAATAGTATTTCACTGGACCACATTGTTTATTTATATTTTATTTGTGTGAATAAAGTATGCAGATTTATGTTTGAGATGCTGCCAGCTGCTGATAAGAGCTGATGTTGAAGCCAAACTTTGTGGTAGTTGTCAACAAAAAGATAATCAGGAGTTGGTACTGAAATATTCAACGTTGTGCAATTTTAATGTAGGCAGCAACACATATGAAAATAGCTGCTTCTTAAAACAGCAGACACAACATTACACAAGAGTATGTACCTCTACATTTCCAAGAGAAAACTAAAACACAAGTGCTCACTTAAGGCACCCACGATATATTATAATCTTTAATGTATGGCTTCCCCCCCCACAAATATCACGTCACACAAAGACCATACAAGTCTGTAGGCATAGATAACAGTTTATCTTTTTCACTACGCCAGCTCTGGAACGCCTGCTGCTAGTTTTTTCAGCAGACACACATTTTAGGTCATATTTTGACATAACACACGCAGTATGCTGCATACATGCCACTGGCCTACTAGAAAACCTATGATTAGGAATATGTATTAGGTCATTTATCGGCCATGTTTTGCAGTAATTATACTAGATGTGGTGCAGTCTGTGCATGCCTCAAACAACAATATACTGACTTTGAAGTCAAGTAGTTCATCAATGTGCGAGGCAACTGAGGTGTACTAAAGGAAATGACCTCAGGGCTTCTGAGAGTATCCGCATTCATTTGAATGTAGTGTTTAACGACAGTGCAGATCACAGACCGACCAGATTCAGGTTCTGTTTCATTTAGTTATTACAGGGTATATGCAGGAATCCTGAAGTCAAATTTAATACCTTTTAAGACCTTTTTTAAGACCCTTTCCACACATTTTAAGACCTCATCGCAACTTTGAGTTCTAACCGGTTACATTGGCAACACACTTTACTATATTGATTGTAGGATGATATGTTAATTTTTTTTCCACCGTTGGCGACTTCGAGTGGTTTCAAATTGTATAAAGTATCAAGCTTTCAAAACAGTTAACAAAACAAAATAACCAGTTTTATGACCAAAGATTCACCAAAGACTTCCTCAAAATGACTTACTTTCTCGTGGTCTCAGATAGTCCTTCGGTTCTTTTCGTCGTATGGACGTAATTTGGACTGGAAGTGTCTCTCCAACTTCAAGTACACCTTTTCCTCCCGAAGTCTCATGACAGACGGTGAGACAAATCAAA